TAGTTCTGTTTTTGTTTGTTCCCATGCTTCAAACTCAGGGCTTTTCAAAATGTGCACAGGCAAGTGCTCTGCTGCTGAGCTACATTCCCAGCCCTATCTGGTATTTCTTGCCATTCTATCTATCCTCTAAAATATACAAACACTACAAAATTATTACCTTAATACTGTATATCAGTTTTATGTTTTATTTTTAAGCTCAAAATTTTTTTAAAACTCAAAAGTTTAATCTAGAATTGAATATATTTAGTATAAGAATAATCTTATATTTCCTTTGGCTAACATCACTTTTATTTTCTTACCCCTGTTATTTAGCATAATATTCCATGTCCTTATAGGTACCGTATTCTTTTGTTTTGTTTCGTTTGTTTGTTTGTTTTTTTCTTCAGGTACTGGGAATTGAACTCATGACCTTGCGCTTGCCAGGCAGGCACTGTACTGCTGAGCTAAATTTCCAGCCCTCACTTTCATTTTCTTTGAAGTCTTTTGCTGTATTAACTGTGCCCCTTCCCAACAGATACAACATTACAATTGGCAGGGAACTATTTCTCACCTTAACCGGTATTATTTTACACATTAGACAAGCACCAACATGCCCTACATCCCCTTCACTGTTCAGGTGAGTCCAGGTAACAACAGCACAGCGGAAAGGGACCTTGGGTACACCTGCTCCCCTCAAGGAGACAAACACAAAGGGCAGAGAGGAAAAAGCGTTCAGGTTGGACTGGTGTGAAAGGCAGGACCTGACCAGTATTGGCTCAGAGTCCAACACCCTTTCTGGTACAGCTCTGCCACCTTCAGGGTCTGAACATTTGGGGTGGTGCACTGCTCAGCCCCAGGCTGTTAGATGAGCACACAGGCAGTGTGGGTGAAGGGATGGAGGAAACCGAGCCAGGTACTGTGGAGCAGTGGGGAGTCATTGGGCACTCAAAGTTCTGACCTACTCTTTTAGTCTCCCCCTTTGTATGGAATGCCCAGGATAGTGACATGGTCAGAAAGTAGATTACGGATTGGCTAGGGCTGGGAAGGCGAGGGAAGGTGGGGGACGATAAATAAAGGCTACGGGTTCCTTTTGAAAGAGATAACAATGTTCTACAATTGATTGTGATGACTGCATAATTCTGTGAATATGAACAATCACTAAATTGTAAGGTCTGTGAATTATATCTCAATAAAGCAGTTTTCAAAATAAGGAGGAGGAGGAAGTGAATTGGGGACATCTTAAATTTCCCCTCCCCATGCAGAAAATCCGGTGTGGATGAAGGTTTTGGGAGACCCAGCATTTCAAATCCTTCCTCTTCTCTAGGGGTGGTGGGATGTCTGCCTTTCTAGAAAGCAGCCACACGCAGGAAAACAACAACAAAACTCAAGTCTGGAGTCAAGCCCGCGCTGGAATCCTGACATTCTGACACTGTCACTTCCAGCCTGTGTGACCTTGAGCAAATCACCCCATCTCTCTGAACCTCATTCGCTTCCGCCAAGCAATCAGCGCAAGGGGATCCGCGAGGACATTCACAAGAGCACGTGTGGAACCCAGCGGGCGCTCCAGACTCTGCGGATGGGGAGCAACTGGTGCCAGCCGAGCCACCAAAATGCAGCGCGACCCAGGGCGGGACGACCTGGTGCCTGGCAGTTATCCGAAGCCGCGGCTAGGGCTGCAGCCCTCCGCACCCCCGCCCCAGGCCAGGAAGGAAGCCCGGGCGGCCGGGCCAGGAGCCGAGGCAAAGGCCGGGAGCCGAGGCAAAGGCCGGGAGCCGGGCCCGCAGTCCCCGCTGCTCATCCATCAGCCGGACGAAGAGCAGAGTCGCGCTCTCGGCCCTCTGTTTGCTTTCTCGCCAATTATTGCCGCGCCGCAGCCCCTTTGTTGATACAGTAGTCCGAAAAAGTGCTAATGTTCATTTATCAGGGGGCCCGCCGGGGACTCCCATGAGTTGCGATTCTTCCCAAAATATAAACACGGGGCAAGCGTCCCAGACAGAAACCCCCATCTGTTTCCCCGGCGCGGGCCGAGAGCGAGGCGTTGTTGAAGATAAAGCTGCGGATAACGCCGCCTGTCTCCAATGGACGTCTCCCCGGCGCATTAATGACATTCCCGGTGATAGTTCCAGCTTATCTTTCAATTAATCATATATACCTTTTGCGGCCGGCCCTGGTGATTGCAGGAAGGGAGAGGGTGCCGGGCTGCTCCGATCGCTTTGCAATTAATAATAATTTATTTGCGCAGAATGCGCTCGAGCCACCCGCAAATTCAACTAATTTTGGAAGCGTCAAGCCTTTAAAAGGCTGAGGGATCGATGCACAGATTTTTGGTCTCTCCTCTCTTCCCTCTGTCCCTTCCTGTCTTTCTCTTGGCTAAAGGCTGCTTGTTTGTACTGCTAGTTTGGTCAAAGCGCAGCTTAGAGAAGCCACCAGGTTGGGCAGAGGGCCCTTAGGAAGATGGAAGTTGTGTCCCCGCAGAATCAAGTCCCACCCCACCCCCAGCCACTGCAACATCTATTTAAAGAAAAAAAAAAGTTTTCTTTTGTGCTTGCCAGGAAACAGCACTGATCCCAAAGCAAAATTGGAATTTGTTCTTGGACATTTCTTAATAGAGACCAGCGTGGGTTACCCTAATTTCAACTTTGCACAATATTTGTTAGGTTTCGCCCTGTTTCTTCTCTCCTGAAGCACTAGGGTCTTCCCTGCAGCCAAGAGAAATTATCACCGGATTTACAGAGGATGTGGAGGTGGGAAAGTCACTTATTTTGTCTAAATAGGAAGGAGGTTTTTTTCTTTCCTTTTTCATGACACCTGACCCATAGATCTGTCAGCTTTGAGAACCCCTTCATCCAAAAATAGGTGATAAATCTTCGATGCTTTGATTTGAAAAGGAAATGCTAATTTTTTTTCTTTCTCTAGAACTATCTCTTTTTTTTTAAAGTTAAAGCAGGGATTCCGGATGCAGCCTCGATGTCCCCCCATTAAACGGCAATATTTCAGGCGTCGACTCACACTAATCTTTCAAACTGTCATCGCTAGCCGCCTGGCCAGCCCGTTCACTTAACAGTGCTCCCAGGACCCTCACTCCAAGCTCCTTCCAGTGAGACATTTAATTGAATCGGATGTGGTTCATTTACCAGACGTCGTCACCACCACCTCTTCGATAGACATCGCCCACCACCCCAGAAAACAATCTTCCAGGACAGTGTGGTCCCCGGGGTAGGTTAGCTTAGATCAGTAACCAGCCACAGGCTGCAAGTCCCTCAAGGGAGAATCCAGCCTGTGGGGTGGAGAGATGGGAAGATGAGCAGTTTCCTTGGGAAAGGGCAGTCTCCACAGACCAAGCTAACAAATTCAGAACCAGGAGTCAACCCTGGCCAGAAAACTTGAGGGGAGACCTTTTGGGGTGGGCTCGGCCTGATACTACCTGCTGGCACCCAAAAGCACCAGGGGGCTGCATGCCTCAGGGACTACCTGGCCAAGCTTGACTCTCTTTCACTCTAGCTCCGAGACCACAGGCTTTAAGAGTTTGGCTTTGAGGAGAGGCAGGAAAGGATCCAATGCCAGGCCAGCGCTTGACTTCACTCACACCCCGACCCATGGTGCTCCTGAAGGACCACTATGTCTGTTTCGTCCCTGTACTGTATTTCCAGTGTTCCCTCTGTGCTTGGGCCCGTCCAGGAGTGAAATATCTTTGGCTAGCCTTTCAATAGGCACCACCCTCCTACTATAAGTGCCTCTTCCTAGGTCCTCCACATCCCCATTCTCAGTGGGTCCCCGTATCTCACTCAGGCCCTCCCTGAACAAGTTTTAGTCATTAAGCCGTGGGAAATCAACACTTCTCCACCGTGAGCGTTACTATCTCCAGTGAGAGGAAGATAATGTCCTTAACCTAGAACCCCTATGCCTCCTCTGACTTCCTTGAAGTTGCACGCAAAATACAACTGGTGTTCTAGGGGAAGGGAAGACTGGAAACTTTTCCCAGATCTCTCCTGCAGGACTGGGACTCTTAGGGATGAGCGTGGCTGAGCAGAATCTGGCAACTTAACTTGCTCCTACCTTACTGACCCTGGACCAAAAATGACCACCCCACTTGCCCTGCTCTGCCACCATGTGCCTGGTCCCCTAGCAGGGGCCCCATTCAGAGCTGGAGACATCCTGGCCCTTGTAGGCTCAGAGGAGCTCTGCCTGGCTGGGAGCTAAACCTGGGCTGGGTCCCAAGGCCTTAGAGATGCCGAGGCCGAGGGTCTAACTGCTAAGCAGGGAGGGTGGAGGAAGCAGGAGAGCAGGATTAGTGGGCTCCAGAACAAGAGAAGGAAGGCTGCAGGTAGCTGGAAAACAGCTCTCTTCTGGGCAGCTTTTCCCACTGGGAGTCTGAGCTGATCATTATTAGGAGAGAGTCATTTTTCCAGGAGGGTACGGGCAGTAGAGCCCCCCAGGCCCAATGCTCTGCACCTTGCCCTAAGGTAGGTGGCCACTCCCATCCCACAATTGCCCACTTCCCTTTTTCTTTCAGTTTGACCAACCCAAGAACGCCCCAGGGGTTGGTATCCTGGGGAAGGAGGGACCCTGGGGCGTAAGGTCCTATAGGTCAAACCAAAGGAAATGCCCAGATTTCCAGAATCTCCCCCTTCTGCCATCACCCAGAACAATTTTCTCCTTCACACAGACGGTTCCTGGCCAGAAGAGCCGGTAAGAAGGCCTCACTGATCCCGGGAAACAACCCCCCTTCTCCAGCTTCCTGCCCATCCTTCACTCTTCTACTCAGCTGTGGATGGAAAGGAACCTTTCTTCAAATCCCAGACACACCCGATCCGACCCAGAGGCCCGGCTCAGGGCGGCATGAGGTCCTTCTCTGCGAAGGGTCTCCCTAGGGCTGTCTCAGGCTGGAGGAGCAAAAGGGGAAGCTCCGAAATGCGCCGCGGCCCCTTTAAAGCCGCTGAGCAGGATTTTTTTTTCCTAGCTGTATGACTATATTAGGTGACACGAAACTGCCTTTGGCTCCTGTCAACGAGCCCCCTGGCCCAATGGTAGGCTGAATCCCCCTCCTGCGACCAGGTCCCGCCTCTCTTGCCCCTTGTGCTCGGCCTACCTGCTGCCCCTCCACATCCAGAGCAGGAAGGCGGGTGCGCGGGCCGGCGGCGGGCACCATGCGGGGAGGCTGCCGGGGGCCGTGGGCAGCGCCTCTCTCTGCCGCCCACCTGGCGCTGTGACACTGGCGCTGCCACCATGTTCCCCAGCCCTGCGCTCACGCCCACGCCGTTCTCGGTCAAAGACATCCTGAACCTGGAGCAGCAGCAGCGCAGCCTGGCCGCCGGGGAGCTCTCCGCGCGCCTGGAGGCTACTCTGGCGCCCGCCTCCTGCATGCTGGCCGCCTTCAAGCCGGAGGCCTACGCTGCGCCCGAGCCGGCGGCGCCCGGCCTCCCGGAGCTGCGCGCAGAGCTGGGCCCCGCGCCTTCGCCCTCCAAGTGCGCGCCTGCGTTCCCCGCCGCCCCCGCCTTCTACCCTCGTGCCTACGGCGACCCCGACCAGGCTAAAGACCCTAGGACGGATAAGGAAGGTAAGGAGAAAACCTCGGCCCCTCTTCCCTCGCTGGGCGCTTTCACCCCCAAGCCCGGGCCGCGAAGCGACCAGGCCCGGGAGATCTGGGCACGAGGGCTGTGGTCCCGCGTCCAATGGAAGTTTACAGGAAATGAACAATTGACAACATCAGAAACAGGAGACCAAAAAAATTGTTTTTCCAGGCCTAACAAAGCCCCAAGTCGCTGAGGCCCTCGGATGTGTAATGAAGTTTCAATTTGTCGGTAGACAGAGCAGAAATAGATTATCTCTTTATAACAAGGGTTTTTAACTCTCTTTGGATTTACCAGACTTTTTAGGATCTAGAGAAAACAACCAAAGAGAAATTAAACGCGCTCGTGCCCACCGTTGGAAAAAGGTCCGGGACACCCGGCAACCCACCGCGACTGGGCTTCTGGGCCCTTTCCTCCTTTGTGCTGGGACAGTGGAGTCTTTGGGAGCAAGGCCTTTGGTTTTAAAATGAGATACTTCGGACCCTCAGCAACCTCATGTATCTTTATATTTTCTGTACAATTTCTGGGGCAGGACCAGGGCTGAGACATTCTCTCCCGGGAAAAGTTAGAAAAGGCCGGGGCTGAAGGCGCCATGAGGGACAGGGGAGCTGCGAAAGGTAGGGGCTTCCCTCCCCTGCAGTCCCAGGGTAGGACAGGAAGCCTCGCCTGGGCTCAGAAAGGAGCGCGCTCGGAGACCTGGGCCCAGCTCGGCGTCTGCGCGAGGCCGAGGCTGGGGTCCCTGAGCAATGGCCGCCCGGGGGAGGACTCGTAGGCTTGTCTAACAGCAGAGCGAAGGCTGGGGAACATCTTTGGACGACTAGAACCGATTGCTACGAACTCGAATCCCGCCTGAGTAAGCAGTCAGGGCAGATTGGGAGGTCCCCCGCCACCCCTCGCTGCTCGGGCGTAGTGCCAACACCGCGCCGTCCACGTGTGAGCTCTCCAGTACCAAACTAACATCTCTCGGCCTTCTGATTCTTAACTTTGAGGCAAGGTGACCGCTGCTCCACGCGCGAGGCCTCCATATTCCTTCAATTAATTTCTCAAATGCAATTCTCCCCGGAGCATCGCTTGGTTTTACATTCTTTGCAATTTGAAATCTTAAGTCACTGTTTGACTCACCCGGGCGCGAACTGCCCGACGGCGCAAAGCTCTCTCCAGTATTGTTTTCTAGCGTCTAGGGCCGTCCCTGGCACTTGGGCTTTCAAACTTGCTGCATTGCTTGTCGAGAGAAAAGCGGCAACGGGCGTGGGTGGAGCCCACTGCCCTCGGCGAGTGAGCCAAAGCCAAGCTGGACGCTGCAGCACCGGGAGGGCGGCACCCGAGGGCGCACTGCCCGGCGGCGCTCCGCGGGACGGGCGCCCTAACCAAGCGTATCTCTCTCTGCTCTGTTGCCCTTCAGAGCTGTGCGCGCTGCAGAAGGCGGTGGAGCTGGAGAAACCCGAGGCGGACGGCGCCGAGCGGCCGCGCGCGCGCCGGCGGAGGAAGCCGCGCGTGCTCTTCTCGCAGGCGCAGGTCTACGAGCTCGAGCGGCGCTTCAAGCAGCAGCGGTACCTGTCGGCTCCCGAGCGCGACCAGCTGGCCAGCGTGCTGAAGCTGACGTCCACGCAGGTCAAGATCTGGTTCCAGAACCGGCGCTACAAGTGCAAGCGGCAGCGGCAAGACCAGACTCTGGAGCTGGTGGGGCTGCCCCCGCCGCCGCCGCCGCCCGCCCGCAGGATCGCGGTGCCGGTGCTGGTGCGCGACGGCAAGCCGTGCCTGGGGGACTCGGCACCCTACGCACCTGCCTACGGTGTGGGCCTCAACGCCTACGGCTACAATGCCTATCCCGCCTACCCCGGCTACGGCGGCGCGGCCTGCAGCCCGGGCTACAGCTGCGCCGCCGCCTACCCGGCTGGGCCTCCCGCGGCGCAGCCGGCGACGGCTGCCGCCAACAACAACTTCGTGAACTTCGGCGTCGGGGACTTGAACGCTGTGCAGAGCCCCGGGATTCCGCAGGGTAACTCGGGAGTGTCCACGCTACACGGCATCCGAGCCTGGTAGGAAAGGGAGTCGCCTGGGGCGCCCCTGACCCAACCCCGCACTGTCTCTGGAGGCAGGAAAGGCCCCCGCCGCGACCCTGAGTCCCTCGAATTTCACTTCACGACCGCGGACGCCTCGGAACGTTTTCCGCCACCGTAAGCCTCTGCCCCCGAGCGAGCGCGTCCACCGGTCTGCGGTGATGATCCCGCAGCCCGCCATCTCGGTAGCCGCCTGGGGGTTCTCTCCGGGCGTCCCTGGCCAGCACCTCCCACGGACGCACCAAACTTCGGCCCGAGAGCCGGACGCGGGGACCTAAGGTCCGGCCGCCCTTCCCGAGCCTGGGCCGGGCGCCCGGGCCCTGGCTGCCTTGCCGTTGCCCACCCACCCGTATTTATGTTTTTACCTGTTGCTGTAAGAAATGAAAATCCTTCTCCCATTAAAGTGAGTGCGCTGACCATGCACGCGTGCTTCTTTCTACTTTCGGCACGTCAGAAATTGCTGAGGACAAAGGCTGCTGGTCCTCCGTTTCAGGCGCTGCCTTTCACTGGGCAAATTGATAATATTTATAACAAAAACTAATCCATTCTGGGTCCCTTGTCCTGCACTCTCTGGGAGAGGTCCTATTTTAGAGTTTAGCAGCTGAGGCCTGGAGAGATTTTAATTGACTTGTCACCAACAAATAGCTAGTACTAGTAAAACTCAGCTTTGATTCTCTCTCCTTCCAGAGAGGGAGGGCACCTGCCGTCCTCAGCTTCCAGCACCCTAATATATACCCCACACTGCCTCAGGGACCGGGCTCTAAATGAAGAGCAACTGGACTTGAGCCCTGTGCTACTGGAGCAACACTATAACTCATCCTACTTGAAAGAATGCCTTAGCTGGCTTTACAGATGGAAAAGCCGAGAGAACTAGTTAGTCCTTGTCCAACGTCTTTGAATCTGCTGCGAAGGGAAGGGATACTCCTAACAGAAGCACCCCGGGCTCCCTGTCAGAGCCACAACAGCTGTCCAGTTAGGCTGGGTACAGAGCAGGCCCAGCAGGGTATTCTGAAGACCGCTCACCTCCTGACGCAGACAGACCATAGCAGTTCACCTGATGAGGGAAGATCCTGTGCCGGACACTCATTTCACCATAGCGAGCCCAGTTTCCATCACAGATGTTACTCTTGTACAGTACCAGTTTTCTAAGCGGCAAAACAGGCTTGACAACATCAAGCTAAAATCTAGTTGTAGGGCTTCCCAATTGCCCACCTCTGTGTTTTGTTTTATTTGTGTTTCTGGTACCAGGGATTGAACTGCACTCTAGGCAAGTTGTCTACCCCCGAGCTATACTACCGCAGCCCACCTCTTGTCCCTATACCCCACTAATGGGGATAGAAACCTTGGCCTTTGCACTGGGCTACATCCAAGTCCTCCTTCCCAGCGTCCTTTTATTGTGAGATGGGGTCTTGCTATGTCCATCCTCCTGCCTCAGTCTCCCAGACTGCGGAAATTATAAGTTTGCACCACCACCCCAGCTCGGCTTTTTGGTGTGTACAGTAGAGACAGCAAGAGCATCTCTCTATGAGCCCTGGTCTCACCAGTCCTGTAGGATTCAGCCCTGACCTCCCCCTCCTCTATCTCCAGCCCCCAGGGTGAGAACTAACTCATTATTCTTCAAAAAGTGACGGAACCAAATGGGAGGGAGTCTGGATTTGGGTTTCTCGATATTTTGCTGGGGAAGCGCTAGGCTGGCAGTGGGACACTCGGGGTATTACCCTAGAGCTCCTAAACAAAGCAAAATGGCACTAGTGGAGTCCAGGGACCAAGCGCTGCTCCATGTGTCCCTGATGCCCAAGAAGAGTTGCTAAGCCAAGCCTGGCACACCAGGAGCTGACCAGCTGCAGCACTGGGAACCAATGAGTACCCCAAGATGCCTCCAGGTCAGTCACCTCTATAGGTAAGTGCTGCATCGCCCCCTCCAACCCCAAACCCCTATGGGAGAAGAGGAGTCATCGCTAAGTGGTGCCTCTGATGAGGAGCCTCTCTGGGTGCTGAGCAGAAGGCTCACAGGATAAAGGGTTATGGGTTGGGCTGTGGGAGGGAGTGGAAAGGGCTGAGCTCAAAGCCTGGCTAGGTGCTCCTGGATGGGAATTTCCTTTTCTGTAAGATCCAGACCAGGCTGGTAGGACCCCAGGTAGGGGAATCTGTTCAGCCTAGCTCCGGCACCTATGAGCCTGCTGTGTGCCCAAGCCATGCACGCCTCCCTCCAGCCACTGGGATCCTCAGTGTTGTGGGCACAACGGTTCCATCTCATAGAGGGGCACACTGAGGCGCTCTTAGGCTCCAGCCCTGCACACAACCTAACTCACACAACCTGGGAAGCCTTCTGCCTGAGTCACACTTTTAGTGAAATCTGTGAATTTGCAGAAGGTCCTCTGGGTTCTGTGTACTGGCCAGCTTCTTTCACTTTACTTTTGTCTGCAAAAATATTGGAAACAAAATTTCTTTCATTTAACTTATAAACCCCCGTACCCCTTTTTTTTGGTTCTGGGGATCAACTCAGGACCGTGCACAAGGTAGGCAAGCCAGGCATCGCTCTACTGCTGAGCTACATCGCGCCCTTGGTGGTGCCTCTCCTCTCTGTCACCCCAGGGTCTCCTTGAGCCTTTCTGCCCCACTCATAAAAGGAAAGCAACAGCTGGCTGACTTCTGCAGAGGAGTTGCCAAAGGCTCGGACGCCGGGACAAAATGCTTTGCAGAAGTTCTTTGCAAAAGGTGAATCTAATCCACCTTCATTTGCAGACCAGGAGAGAAGTTGTCAGTGGTCAAGGTCGTACTGAAAAGCAGCGAGGAGCGGGTTTATGAAGCCGCCCAGCCCTTTAGGGTGACTCTCCAGTGCCCCAGGGTGGAGCAATCCCGCGCTCTCGCCAGTGCCAGCGGAGTGAGAAGCTGAGGTCTCAGGTCCTGCACAAACTGCAGGTGGTGGGGCTCTGGCGAGCGACACCCCACGGCCAGCCGCCCCGTCCTCTCATGCTCCTCCGGGCCTGGGCCACAGCTTGGCTTGTGATGAGGTCGTTGGGTCTGCCGTGGAAGCGCCAGGGTGGAAATGTCAAAGTACCCTAAACTAACAACGCTCCAGTTTACAGAGATTCCCTCCCTATTAAATTGGTATTGTTTTGTTTTTCAGTTCACCTCCACCTCCAAAGCACAGGGATATTGGGGTGGCTCAGGCTTGGGCTCCGCATGCCGGGCACCAGGGAGGACACAGGGGCCTACATTTCACTAGTTCTGTTTTCTTTTTAGTCAAACAAGCTCATGCGCAGTTTAAAGATAATCTGAGATTAATAGTGGTCTGTATTTTTTTAAGGCTCTGGGTCTAGGTGGGAGTGGTTCCTTCAGCCCAGCACCACTGCTGCGCTCAGCCAGGAGGGGGCTGCGACTGCTGTGGTCCTAGCCGGGGCACCGGCCACCACTCCCCTCCCGGCCCCGCCAGCCTCAGCGTCTCTTCATTTCCTTGGGTCCTTCCTAGCCCTCAGGCATAGGCTGGGCCAGATCAGAATCGGTCTCTACGTCGTGTATCTGTATACCTGCTTTGAAACAGGACGCTCAACACCCTCGGGGGTTGCCACAAACCCACAAGCTTGAGTATTGGCAGCAGGGGTGTGGCCAGAGGGTCTTAGGCATTCACCCTGAACTCAGCCTGCTTCGCAGGGTCCCTCATTCCCTCCTGGAAACATTCTGGGGCTGAGGCTCTGCAGGGGCCGCACAGGCGGGAGGCACCATCTGAGCTGACTCCCCCAGGAAAGGAGGCTCTTGGAGAAAAGGCCTATGACCAGGGTGCTCTACCGCTGAGCTATATCCTTTGTCTTTTCTATTTTGGGACAGGACTTAGCTAAATTGCCCACACTGGCCTCAACTTTGTGATCCTCCGGCCTCAGTTTACCAAATAGCTGGGATTACAGGTATGAACTCCTTAAGCCTGGCTAGATTTTACTTCTTTATCATTCACAGAGTTTACTAACCCCAAGCACTGTCTTGAGCCCTTTACAAGTGAGCCCATTTAATTCTCTTTAATTCTGAGATCTGCAGAGGAGACAGATGATGAATTCATCTTAAGCCCAGAGAGGAGGAGTAATGTGCCTAAGGCCACACAACTGGTCAGTGCCGGAGCTTGGTTTCAACTCCAGGCAAACCATCTCCAGTGCCTGAGAACACAATGCCACCCCATGCCCAGCTTGAGGTTAGCAAAGTGCAGGCACCAGGAAATGTTTGCTAATTGATCAAAGAGTACAGCAACATTGGAACATTTCTATGTGCTGGCCACATACAAACCTATAAGAGAAGAACACCTATAAGATAAGAACAACTGTTTTTTTTTTTTTTTTAGCAGGAGAAGAATCTCAGCAGAGAGGCACAGCAACCAGGATCCTAGGTTGGCCATCCGTCCTTTTTGCTCACTCTGCTACTTCTCAGAGGACAGTTTGCTCCAGGTAAGCAGTGAGGAGATCTGACAAGCAGGTCACCTACAGCCACCACCAACTCCCCACCCTACTCCGACTCACAGCTGCATGAGATAACGGTATGAATCATTGCCTGACATCTGTCAGGGCTTACTTTGTGCCAGGCAGGGCAAAATGCTGGCCCTGCAAATCTCCTTCTGCTATTCTCCAAGGAGGACACTGAAACTCAAACGAGTTAATGCCATCACCCAAGTAAGGCCACTCCAGTAGTCTAGAGTACAGAGCCGCTGCTTGAATCCAGATCAGCAGTTCCCAGACTTCCCCGAAGAAATTACTGCCCAGGGTCCGAAACAATCCCAACCCCCTGCCTGCCCAGCTCCCTCCAGTCAGACTCCTCAGGCCCAGCACCCCTCCAAATGCGTAGGTGACCAGGCGATCTTCATCACTTAACAAAGCTGAGAACTGAAAGTTGCCGAGGCCCTGGGCCCGGCAGCTCTTGAGGGCCTGGGAAAAATCTGTAGTCCGACTTCCAGGTCCTTCTTTTCTATCTCAGAGATTCTGTGCTTGTTTGCTGTGACTCAGCCTGAGGCTGCAGCATAGCCAGGTAGCCTTGGGGAGAGGAAGGCAGAGGGATAGAAAGTAGAAAGGGCCGGGTTGAGAGAGGGACTCGGATCCGTGTGTCTCAGGCCACAGGAAAAAGCAATCTCTTGGCCTGTGCAGCCCAGTTCCTGCCAGTGCTGCTTCAAAGAACAGAAGGATTTGGGTACTATTCAGAGACAGTCCATGTTTTGCCCAGATCCGAAACTCCACCATGGAGTCCTGCAGGATAGGAGTCGGGGGTGAGGCCAGCCTCCATGGGGACTCACAATAGGCAGCACTCCGTGTGATTATCTTGGCCTCCCATCAGCTGTTTATTGTGGCCTCCACCACACAGGCAAAGACATGGGGTTTAAAAAGATTTTGTCACATGCCCTGTTCCCACAGTGGGGAAGTAGCCAAGCTGAGTTCTAACA